CTACCAGAGAAATGGGTGAAAAACTAATTTTAACTTTTAGTAACAAATAATACCTCAGACTAAAAGTTAGATAATATAATTGGCATTGCTGGATTCCTTGTAAGTTAGGGAAATATTTTAATATAAATGTCATATATTTTGCACAAAAGATAACATATTTACTCAGAGTAAAAACATTACATCTAAAATTTGTATGTCTAATGCAAAATCATGATGTTTATATTCAAAATGATCATCAAATTGTAAGAATTCCAGCAATGTAAATTATATTCTGGCCGGGTAATTTGTATGAATTTTATGAGCTAAATAAAAAATTATACTTCACGCCAGATATGGGTAGATGAACTCAAGGAAAGTGAAAGTTCGGTTCTGGTAGGGAGGCATCGCCAAGATATGAGAAATCGCTAGAAAGTGAAAACCAGCTGCAGAAGCGGGTACAACTGTACCTGATTTTCCTCTCTCAAATCCGGAAAAAACTCCCCCATCCCCAGAATTGTTATCGAAAATTTTTCTCAGAATTTTCCAGAAAATTTCGGGTTTGGGAATGATTTTCTGAGAAAATTTCAATTCCGGTCATCGGAGAGTTCCGGGTTTGAGGGATTCCGGCTAACGGAGATATTACTGTATTACTTTATTTGTTTAATTTTCTCTCCTAATTAACAAAATTTTTACTAATTTTACAACGATACAATATTTGTTAGTGAGGTAGGCTAATAAATATCTGATGAAATTAAAAAAGAATCATAGATATTTTGGTAAATTAAGATAGAACTTACCTTTTGCTTTACTGCAGTGCTACAGTGGTGACTATAATGTGGCTGTAGGGGTTTTAGGGTTAAAAAGAATCTGTTTATTATCTTTTGTACATTTCTTTAGGCTTATTTTGGTTTTATTTTGTTTGCCAACTTTATTATTATTACTCAAATCTACTTGTCAACCGGGCAACTTACGGGCACACAGACATTAAAAAACACTTTCCTGGCGATTAATTCTGGCTACTCCGGGTTGCCGGGCTATATAAATTTTCCCTGCCTGCTTGAGACTCGAGTAAATATCATCATGTTGGAGTTGAGAGATACCAGGAGCATTAGCTGGAATCTCCTGATCTATTGCCAAATTGCTTTTTGCCATTTTGAAAATTTATCAGTTTAGGACTTGATTAATGCCGCTTAACCCATTTAAAGATCATTTTACTTGCAAATCTGACTCATTCTAAGGTGGGATTATAAATTTGTATATACAAAATGGAACTTTCCTGGAATTATTCCTGACTACTCCCTCTTAGAGAACCAGAATGTTCTCTCAATACCCTTAGGGCAGATCCTACATACAGTAGAGTCGGCCCTTAACATACGCGGGGGTTAGGTAATAGAGATACCTGTGAATGTGAATCCGCGTATTTTTGCTGCCCCCCCCCCCCTAAAAACACCCCTGGGCCCCCCATGTCCTTATTTACCGTATATACCTGTGTGTAGTTCGAGTTTTTAAGACCAAATTTTTTGGCAAAAAATTGGGGGTCGACCTCTAAACGGGTAATAGTTTCGTCAGGTTGAAAAATATTTACCAGTAACTACCAGTAAACATTGGAAATTACGCACCACCAGCTGTGAGAGTCGGTACAGTTGCCAGGGCAGATCTCTTGCGTCATCATAGCAAGCCCAAAGTAGCCAAATGCATGGTATGGTAGCACAGGATGATGTAAAACATAAAGTATTCATTTATTAAAGTTTATTTATAGATAGTACTTAAATTTTTGTTCATTGCATTTGAAACATCAATCTTTGTTAATTAAATTTGAAACAAAAGAAAACTACGATAGCGTATTTCTAGATACCGGGTATTTTCATTAAAATATTACATCACAAGTATATTTTACCTTAACTGTGACTGAATGAACATATTCTCAGAAATAAATATGGAAATGTAATATTTTTACTGAAATGACGTACGTATTACAGTGGAAAGTGGGATAAAATCATGACGAAAACAATGACTTTTGCATTCTTTCATTGTTCAAAAGATTTTACCGTAGTCGCTTTTCGAATGGTCTTCAGTTAAAAAACTGTTGTACTGGGAGTATTACAATAATATTCTATCCTAATTCACTTGAATAAATACTACAATACCATATTTCTGAATATTTTCATTAAAATCCATCAAAATCATTTTCCTTGTCATCAGCACCAAACAGCTACTCCCAGTCCTCTCCTTGAACAGTATCGTCATATGGATCAACACCATCATCAGCCATAGGATCATCAATATCTTCATCCTCATTCACGCTCTCATTAGCCTCATAATCCCACAACAAGTCGTCTTCTGTTCCACCAAGAGCATTTGAAATCCTACATTTCTTAAAAGATTTCATCACAATTTCTGGTATGATTGCGACCAGGGCTCTGCCGTATCAGCTAGACGGTACACGTGTTTTTTGAATCGTTTTCAGTTAAAAACTGTTGCATCACAAGTGAATTAGGATAGAAGATTATTGTAATACAACAGTTTTTTAACTGAAAACGATTCGAAAAGCGATTACGGTAACATCTTTTGAACGAAAGAAAGCGAAAGTCATTGCTTTCGTCACTTTCCACTGTAATACGTACAGTCACTTCTGCAATAACGCGATAGTTGTGTTCTTGTAAAACATCATGTTATAGAAATTCGCGTAATAAAAATAACAGGGCTTATGGAGAAAATAGGGTTAGGTGCAGATTACTACTCGAAATCGAAAAAAATTTAGTAGTTAGCCTAACACAAAGGTTAACACAGTCTAAATAAATGTTACATTCATATCTAATAATGAAATCATACAGTAAATGTAACACTTTACCTTGACAAAATATGAATAGAACTTGATGGGGGAGAAGGGTGATTTTGAGGTTGATAACATCGAGCTTCTCTTCAAGGGTTATAGCCTTTCTTTTACGATCATCACCGGGAATGCGGTCACCAGAACGCTTCTTGGAGATATTCTTCTTTACCATATTCACAGTTAATACCAAAAAATTGGAGAAATAGTTAGCAAAAATCGAGTTACAGCAAACAAGCATTCGCGTTATACAAATATCGTTCCTCTGTTCATAAATTGCGTTAGAACCAATTTGCGTTGTCAAAACACGCGTTATAGCAGAACTCACTGTACGTCATTTCAGCAAAAATATTACATTTCCATATTCTCCGAAATAAATACAGTTTTACCCCGCCTAACGCGGTTTCACTTAACGCGTTTTCGCATATACGCGGTGCCTTGCCAAAGCTGAACTTTCACTTAACGCGGATTTTTTCCACATATACGCGGTGAGTGTCCGAGACGCTATTTTTAGATTTGCCCCACCCGCCACCCTGCCTGACTGCCTGTTTTAGCTCATAAAATTCATACAAATTACCAGGCCAGAATATAATTTACATTGCTGGAATTCTTATAATTTGGTGATCATTTTGAATATAAACATCATATATTTTGCTTTAAACTTACAATTTTTAGATAAAAATGTTTCTCTAGGTAACTATGGTATCTTTTGTGCAAAATATATGACATTTATATTCAAAATATTCCTGGTCTTACAAGGAATCCAGCAATGTCAATTATATTATCCTAACATTAGTTTGAGGTATTATTTATTAAAATTTAGTGGTTATCCCACACATCTCCTTGGGACGGTTGGTGGGGGGTGGGAGAGGAGGACCGACCATCTGTTACCCTGTGAAGAATTATTATTTTTTTTATTAACTGAAGATATTTGTTTTAGCTCATAAAATTCATACAAATTACCCGGTCAGAATATAATTTACATTGCTGGAATTCTTATAATTTGGTGATCATTTTGAATATAAACATCATAGATTTTGCTTTAAACTTACAATTTTTAGATAAAATTTTTTCTCTAGGTAACTATGTTATCTTTTGTGCAAAATATATGACATTTATATTCAAAATATTCCTGGTCTTACAAGGAATCCAGCAATGTCAATTATATTTTCCTAACTTTAGTTTGAGGTTATCCCACACATCTCCTTGGGACGGTTGGTGGGGGGTGGGGGGCGGAGGGAGGGACCGACCGACCATCTGTTAGCCGGCTGTGTAGTGTGAGAGGGGGAGGGAGTTGAGTCCATTATTTGAATGGACATTAACTTGGCGACTGTATTTCTCTATTTCTCTTAAGTATTAATTGTGTGCATGTACCATCATAAAATTAAGATGTTATTTTTACTACAACATAGGTATGTGCCTTCAAAAAGTGGAGTTTGGGGGTCGGGCCGGTTTCTATTGGAATTAATCCCATATGTTCTGTTGTTCACTTAACGCGGGACCCTCTGGGTTCAATTGACCGCGTTAAGTGGGGTACAACTGTAGTAGTTTTGCTGAAACGTAATGTATTTCAATGTTAATTTGGATGAACTACATGAAAACAAAAGACTTTACCTAACCTTCTGATGTTCAAGATATGTTACTCGTTTTTTTTAATAGTTTTCGGTTAAAATACTGTTATATTAGTGATATTCTATTCATACTGTGCTTGATATAATACATTCACGGAAATGTAATATTTTTGCAACTACCTACAATGCTGATGTCAACACAAGCGTGGTTACAGCGAGACTGACTGACTGAAGGAACGCGGGATGGCGCGGGCGATGTGTGTGTGTGTGTGTGTGTGGTGTGGCTGGCGGTGTGTGGTGTCGCGCGCGATTTGAATAATGTATATTCTTTTGAATGTATATTCCTCCAGCGGCAATCCGCGTATTTGCAAATCCGTGTAAGTTAAACCCGCGTATGTTAAGGGCCGACTGTATGCTTAAACAAAGCCGTGTTACACACTGACAAGTGAGGACACAACTTCACATGTTGTAACTACTCTCTAGGTTGTGAAAATTCTTGGCAAAATATGCTAAACACCCTTAATACTTGAGTACTGTATAATGCTAATACTTATGTTTTGAAGTCAATGAACTTCTGATTACTTTATATTATATTGGTTTCAAATTATTTTTGTGTACAGTGGAGGAGAAGATACTTTGGGGCGCCAGATGGAGGATGAGGAGCCTAATACTAATTTGGGGGAGATGGAGGGCAGTCAACCCATTACTCCACGACCTTCATCAACTGGTCCACAACAAAATCCCACTCAAGGTAAAGTAGTAACCACTTCTAGGTATGAGAGATCTCCAACTAACCAGGTGACTTTCTCAAACCCAGAAAAATCCTCCATCCCCGGAAATACTCCAGCGTCTAAATTATGCATCTTGCACAGACAAACACTAGCCCACATCGTCAGAATGTTTTTGTATGCTGGGGAGTTTCACAAGAGTCTAAACTACTGGAGTCTGTAAAAGCAATTCTAATTAAGTTAGAAACTCCATTTGTTAACTAAAATAATCCAGAATACTGTAGTTTATCTTAAAGTTTGGTTAAATAAATACAGGTATATATTTAAAAACTAAATATCTAAATGACATGGTCATGAACCAAGCTGTGCGTTACAGCAAAGATTGGTATTTTCCACTCCTATGGAGCTGTGGGGGATTAGTGGGTCTCGTGTAACTGACCTCATCTGACACAATGTCAGGTGGAGGTAGGGTGGGGGATTAGTGGTCTCATATTACTGACCTTCTGATACAATGTCAGGTCACCCATTGTTGGATGGGGGATTAGTGGGGCTAAGGACCTGAAGATGTCTTGAATAAACATGAAAGCTAAAATACAGTATTTTTTATACTTATACTTTTCACAATGTATCCCTTCAACATAACATTTTAAAATATGGAGCGAGAAAGCAGAAAGGTGGAGTGGAAAGTAGTGGTAACATGCACCAGTGTTGCCAAGTGCTAAGCTCCTCAACAGGTATTAATAAGCACAGATTATTACAGTAAACATATCTTTATTAATTACTAAATATAAAACAAAGTAAAAATTATTACAATGGGAATGGCAGGCATGGGGAGGAGTAGGAGACGACGGATCTTTTGGGGGGGTGTGCGGTCAGTCTCCCCTCCCTCCTCAAACCTCCCTCACTTCCTTATTCCTTACTGAATTTAATATTTTATCAATGATAAAACACACACCATAAGAGGCTGATCATACGAGAATATATAATAATAATAAATGTTGGAGGGTGTGTGTTGGAGGTGTGTGTGTGTGTGTCTCAGTAATAATAGCTAGGGCCCTTTTCTTGAAATGTATAAAATACATTAATGAAAATGAATGGAAATTAGAAATAGTAATAGATTTATAATTTGCAAAAAGTTGGATGGTCCATCATTATTTTTAGTCCTTTCATAAATACTGTATATGTACGTATATTAAAAAAATCCCTAAAATCTTTTGATATTTTACTGTATTATTCATTAATGAGTCATCCATCTTGCCACAAGTTGACTTGTGTTTCATGAACTATACACATACTGTATATGTAGCGATCTCTTGGTGAGGGAGGGAGGGTGCACTTGATACCTCCTACAATACCATATGAACAGGACTGATTCCCATCAGCTTACAGTTGCCATTTAGGGATTTTTCCAAAGTCATTATCCAATAGTATTGGGATGAAATGGGTGGGTATTAGAGCTTATTGTATTGATTTCGTTAACATTAAAGCCTCGACAAACTGTGGTTGTAGATATAGTAAAATTAAAGTAAAAAATATGTATCTTTAATTAATGTTATGGAATGTATGTTCAGTAGAAATGATCAATGAATTGGTAGAGAAAAAAAGGGAGACTGCTTGGGTGGCCAACATAATGTATGTATGCACTCATGGAAACACTGTTATTTATCTTCTGTACAAAAGATTCATTACTGTATTGTTTATTACTGAATATGTATTTGATTGAATTAGCGTTTATGTATGCAAAATGAACAATACGATTCATTAAAATATCAAAACACACAAGAGGAAACGAGATGGCATTGTTTTCGTGTTTACACCCATGACGATGGTTCTACATGTGAAACTGAAGAAAATAAGACCCTTGTTATAGCTGGAGTAAAATTGATGGAAAAAATAGATATGTATGTTTTAATTAATGTTATTTATGTAAATAAATAGAACAACAGAAGTAGCTAACCACTTATTAGTAGTTAATGGATCCACTTCAGAAAATATGTTCATTGCTTGCTCCATGTAAGCAAATGCTTCTGCCAAACGCTTAGTCGTGAGAAAGTGAGGTAGGGGTAATCTGTTGGTGTGATTGTGTTCTGGTCGTGTTCTTGTTCAAGTTGCATAAGTTCTTCATTAGTTAGGTCCTCTCTGTGACAGTTTAATAGCTCCTGAACATTCTCTTCATCAACTTCTTCAAATCCTTCAATGTATTTCCCAAGCTCAACAATATTTCTTTGAATGTTTGACACACACACGCACGCACATAGTATATTATTATTATGTCTAAATCACATGTAAGTTTGTATATTTTCTGCCACCGGCTGCAACTCTATTAACAAACCGTTTATTATTATTATTATTTTACTATGCTACTTTTTTCTTTTTTTTTAAATGGCCTCCAGCCTCCCCCAATAGCCACACCTTTATGTTGGTCGCACAATATATACATATATCTATATCATACAGTGATCCCTCGGTTAACGAATGCCTTGGTTAACAAAATTTCGGTTAACGAGTTACCTTCCATAAGAATATTCAATTTAGTTAACGAATTCCTTACGAAATTTTCCCAACATGTTTTCGCCTGCTTTTGCCTGCTCACCAGCTGTAGTATTAGTCCGCCAATACAGTTATCGGTTTTTGGGCTTAAATTCGTTACCATTTGAGTAAATATCAGAAGGTTGTACTATTCAATAATTTTCCAAGTCTTATATTAAAATTTTTAGTCATTTTAACAATTATTTAACATAATTGAAGTACAGGGAACTAGTTTTTAGCGCGCCAAACAGCCAGTTGACTCATCCAGAATGGCACCAGTTTGTGTCCCTGCTCAGTAGAGGAAGCATCTTGCTTGAGACTCTCTTGAACATAAACTATTTTTACGTTTTTTCAGTACAATTATTGGTCATTCTGAAGTTTATTTTACATATTGACAGCATATAATGCAGTGCAGTGTTGATTTAAAGAAAATAATCTTGAATTACACCAAGTGAACTAAAATTTTATGGGTGAAATGGCAACATGAAGCATGGGGTGACTTCTCTTCCACCCCAGTGCCTTCTCTTCTCCCTTCTCCTCCACCCCCATTCTAATTCCCATCATCATCAACCAGGAGCCTTCTACATGCACACCACAAAGTAAGTGTACTTTACTGCATTTATTTTTAGTTTATATGTAATTTTCGGTGAGCTGGAACCAATTACCCAAAATCCCATTGAAACAATGGTTTCGGTTAACGAACACAATTTGTTCCAGAAGGTCGTTCGTTAACCGAAACCATTGTTTCAATGGGATTTTGGGTAATTGGTTCCAGCTCACAGAAAATTACATACAAAGTAAAAGAAATGCAGTAAAGTACACTTACTTCGAGGTGTGTATGTAGAAGGCTCCTGGTTGTTGATGATGATGATGATGGGAATTAGAAGTGGGGGTGGAGGAGAAGGGAGAAGAGAAGGAAGTGGGGGTGGAAGAGAAATCACCCCATGCTTGATGCCGTCATTCACTCATAAAATTTTAAGTTCACTTGGTGTAATTCAAGATTATTTTCTTTAAATCCACACTGCACTGCACTATATATTGTCAATATGTTAAATACATTTCAGAATGACCAATAATTGTATTGTAAAAACATAAAAATACTCTGTGTTCATGAGACCCACAAGCAAGATGATTCCTCCACTGAACAGAGATACAAACTGAGGCCTTGGTGGGTGAGTGAAGTGGCTGTTGGGCGCACCAAAAACTAGTTCCCTGTACAGTATTGCAATTATGTTAAATAAGTGTTAAAATGATTAAAAAATTTAATATAAAATTTGGATAATTGTTGAATAGTACAACCTTCTTGATATTTACTCCAATTATAACGAATGTAAGCCCTAGAACCGATTACAGTACTGTATTGGTGGACTAACCTTCCAGCTGGTGAGCAAGTCAAAGCATGTCGAAACATTTTCGTAAGAATTTCGTTAACCGAATTGAATATTCTTATGGAAGGTAATTCGTTAACTGAAATTTCGTTAACTGAGGCATTCATTAACCGAGGGACCACTGTATGTAAAGAATTTTTGTAGCATGTTATGATACAACAATTTGCTCTGGCGCTTCCATACATCTAAAATTCGAATTTTTCCAAAATTCGTATACTTCATGGGCCCATGCAATTCAAATTTTCGAGGTTGCACTGTAATATGAGAGATAATAAGACCACTAATCCCCCCACCCTACCTCCACCTGACATTGAATCAGGTCAGGTCAGGTCAAGTCCCCCCAAAAAACTTTAGCTTTCATCTTTATTCAAGACATTTTCAGAAAATTGTCTCGATTTTCAACCTCCAAAAATTTGTTCCTAAAGCCAGAAATTTTTGGAAAAATCTGGGTTTTGGAATGATTTTTCAAGCAAATTTTAATTCAGGCTATTGGAGATTTCCGGGTTTGAGGGATTCCGGCTAATGGAGATATTACTGTACAAGGAAATCTCCCAAAACTAGCCAAAATAGGTGCTGCTTGGAATGGAAAATAATCAAAACACCTAGTTCACAAAAATTATAATACTAAATTATGTCTCGACATAACACTACCCTCTCCTTAATCCTTGTGTCGTCCCGACACAACTACCGTATTTTTCGGCTTGGAAGACGCTGCATCGTGGAAGAAGCACCCTGATTTTGGAAATGAAATTCTAAAAAAAAAAAATTACGGGTTTTAGCCCACCTGGGCACAGGTCACTGACCCACATTGGGGCCTAGGGGGCAAAAATGTAATAATAATAATAATAATAATAATAAAGAAATACAAAAATGAAAAAAAATATCAAGAGTGAGAAACAATATACCTGTATGTATGTTGTGTTGTCAAAGTAAGAGAAACAATTGAGACCCTGCAGAAAGTCAGATCATCAACCTGGGACTTGGTCACATAGCAGCAGGGTCTACCATTAGACACACACCTCTTTGAATATCATCACTTAGAACTGCTTATCAGTCGTCATTTTCATCAATTTAAAAAAAAATCTGTATAAGGTGAAATCTTTAAT